ATGTAAATATGTATATATATAACATATACGTTGCTTAATATATGAAAACGTAACATCGTTATCGTGTATTCTAAATTTCTTCCTTTGTGAATAATAAATTATAATTAATAAACAAGCTCATTTAAATTTTACGGAAGAATTGTGACGAATTTTTAAGACATTTTGATCATTTTGATGCTATATTTTAGCGGCTTTTATTGCATTCATAATTAATCACAGAACGTTAATCTGGTAATTTAATAAACGAACACGACCGAGCACGAAGGGGCTTCGCGAGACGACGACAGGCGAATTCAACAAAGTGTGGTCGCGTTTGTATTGGTTTTAATCTCATTAAATATAAATGTCACTAAAAGATTTCGGTGATGTTGCACGAAATGCTGATAGGTCGGTACGAGAGAGATAGATATACATAAAAAAGCAACCGATTGTTAAAACGCACAGGAATTGGCCAAATGCCGGATAACGCACAAAATGTTTCAATTCCACGCACTTTGGTACACCTAAAAAAAAAAAAAAGAAAGAAAAAAGAAAAATCAAATCTCTCCGCTCCGATCTCTCTTGAAAAAGCACGAGTAGAATATGCCACGACCGTGATAGCGAAAAATATGATCTGACAAATCCGCAGCAATCTCTCACGTTTGCAAAGAATATTTAAAATGTCTTCTAACAGAAGTGATAAAATTACAACCGAATATTTTTATTTTCATTCTTGTTTTTCAAAATATTCTTTTGACTACTTTTAAAATAATGCAAACTTCAGCAACAAGAGTTCTGTAACATACAGTTGCAAATATATCTTTTATATTGTTACATATATTATTATATTTTTATATTCACACATATATATTGTTATATTTTTATTTCTTTATTTATTATAGTTATAGTAAAAGTAATCTCAATAAAACGATTGTTCAGATCGATACTTATTGCGTTTTTCCGTGCGCGTTCATTGGATTTGTAAAGAAGCCTTACTGGCTTGTCGATTAACGATGTGTCGATTAACAATAATGATACAGTTATTAAGTCGTCAGGCAAGTTGTAAAGACGATTGATCTCCTTTTTCATTCTCTTTCTCTCTCTTTCTGATTAACAACGGCGTACTAATAATAGCATTCCCGATCCTTACCGCAGATCGTGGAAAGAATGGCTTCATCAATCAAAGACTTGTAACTGTTTATTTATGTTTTTGTTTTTTTTTTTTTCTGCGCAAAAGAACGTTCTACTTGCTGATTTCAATAGAATACAAATTGAATTGATTTGTTTGTTTCGACGATGCCACCGGGACTCGAGAATAAATGGTAACAGTTGCGAGGGTGTAAAACCGGACCGCGAAATATCGTCATCTCGACATCGTGATCCCAAGTAAAAATTGGAACGGATTGAACGTCGCTTTTGCGTACGGCGTTCGAGAAGAATATATCTGAGAGACTGTGCGGAGAAAGAAAGATGATTCGCGGCATCTTTCTGAAAATAAATTTGACGACGAACCACGATGTTATGTAATACGGTCGCTGTGTTTTTTTTCTGTCCATTGCGTCGGTCGCGCCACATTCGTCACTCCAGGCATCACATTAGGCACATCCGTTTGCCGCACGAGATTGTTCCTACATATTTCACATTCAAGTCTATCTTCATGCACGTAATTTAAAGCAAAATAAATAATATTATTCGATAAAGAAAACAGTAAAAGCGAAATTGAATTATTTTGACAGTAATAATCTATATTTATTTGCGTTAAATATGATGTATATACGTGTGTGTGTGTGTGTATGGTATTGAAATTAAATGTTATCTTTCTCTATCATTTCTACGTGTAAAGTTTGCATTTTTGAAAAATTTGTACAATTGTCACAAACAACAATAATATATCCGTTATTGTCAATTTCCGTGTAGTTTGAATCGTGTGAAGTGGGCACCTCGCAGTTTCCCAAAGTGTCTCTGTTTTGTTGTACCCATGTATTACTGTGTTTAAATCACGAAACTTCGGTGCGAGAAATCTATCGAGAGAAGTTTTAGAACTCTGGAGAAGAGCCAGAACGCTTCATTGATTCCCGGGGCAAAATTTCAAAAATGAACTGCTAAACTTCACAGAGAGAGGGAGAGAGTAATCTCTTTGGCTCGCTTAAATCCTCTTTTATTAATATATCGCGTCGTTTCATCAGTTATTGATATAATAAAGCCGATAATACTGCCTCTCGCGATGAGGTACAATACGCTAACGTCTACACACACACACACACACGCGCGCGCGCGCGCCTCATCGTCATCATATCAAATTGGTCTTTTAGTCGCTGTCGATTAACAGATATTCACCCGTCCTTCTATCATTCAATGCGGAAATCCTCTTGATGCGATGAGTCCGCGAATCGATGACGCTCATCAATCAGGAAGCGGGACAATGATCAACAAAAAATCGTGAATGCAAGAAAATAGATTTAACGTGTTTTCTCAAAGAAAAACGGAAGTATAGTATATCATATTGTATCGAACCTCGTTATATTCGAGAGATGGTCACGTTATATATCTGCTATCGGTTCTTTTCTTTTTTTTTTGCGGTGCTACTCCGGTCGAGCGCGCTAATATTTATTTATCCCGCCAACTGCCGTTTGTTATGCAAATCGCACACAGAGGTATAATATACCTTGACTAAATGATCGCAAAAAGCAGTGTGACCATGAACGACGTGTGCCATGACGTCTACGACGACGACGCGAACATATTAGTTAACGCCTTTTATAAAATTACGTAGAATTTAACGCGCATATTGAATATATAATACGTTTCATTGAAATTCTGTTGGTTGTGTGTTGCAAAAGATGTCTCGTCTGTTCACACACACACACACACACATAGCATTCGCTTGCAGTAAGTTTTGAATTACAAGTTGAATGATAATTGTCGATTCTTTTACTTTATATTTCGAGATAAAACTCGAGTGTTTTTCTCGAGCGTTTGTGCAAACGTGAGAAATTTTTCTCCTATCACTCTCAATTTAACAATCGCGTATATAAGCACAAAAAGGAAATTGTGCTACGGAAATAAGCAAACATTTCCGTTTCGCTCGTAGATGACTTGCGCGCAATATAATCTGTATGTCGTTTACAGGCGATATACACATGACATAATAATCATACGAAGCGGCTAATTGATGAATAAGAGCCGCGCGAATAACAAATGTGTGCACGCCGCAAAGTTGATAATGCCTGTCAACTGGGCGTCGCACACTTATTATCTTCCGAAACGTGTCGGTAATGCGTGTCCGTGAATGTTAACTGCGACATATAACTCGCGAACTACACATCGACACTGGTAATAATCATATACATTGGACATATGAGAAAATTTATACGAGGAATTAATTTGTTTTGCACACTTTTAAACAACAAATGCAGAAGGATAACTTTTTTTTATCAACACATTTCCGAAAACAACGAAACTGCGGATATAACTGTTACATTTTTGAAGAAGTGCGCAAGAATTTAACGCTGTGGAATTTTCGTCCGAAAAACATACGAACCGAACTCGCTTTATTTGCGCCGTGGTGTAACAAAAGTAAGTAAATATATATGTGTAGCAAAAACAAATCTCTCGGACATGAAAATGCGAGAAACGATTAGTTCACGCATATAATTTTAATATTGCTTATATATTCATTATATTACGCAAGATGGGATTAAAAGTAGGAAGATAACATTGAAAAAACAGTTTTGTTGAGATAACAGAAATTTGATAAATCAAACCGAATAAAGTGTTCTGGAAACTGAATTTTGGTTGAGATTATCAAATTTTGTGGTAATCTCAACAAAACTGTTTTTTCAGTGTACCGGTAGCAGTATTTTTTTTATTCCATTTTTTTCGATTCTTTGTGTTCTTCTTCATGTTATTGAATCTCGTCAAGTGTATGTTCCAGACTCCGGCGTGGCACTTTGCCATGTCCTTTTGTGTTCTATAATTGCACGCCGAACATGAAGTGGTTCAGAAAATAAAACGAAGAATCCGTAGAAAGATAGTGATGACGCTTCTGTATATATATATATAGATATATATATGTGTATGTATATATATGTATATATATATATATATATGTATACGTTGTACATAGAAATTATACAGTAATACAAAATGACGTGAGATGCATCTCTCGCGTGGACATCCAAGAGGGAGGAGATGACACACGCGCGTGCATAGCGGAACGGCTTTGTCGTAAAATGTTCCGCTTCATTACTTTGTGCCACCGGGCACTTCTATTGAATGTGTGTAACGTTCATTTCTATGCAATAAAGTTATTACGTGTCATGTCGTGTCGCGTCGTAGTCGAACGAGAGAACGTTTTCCTCAATAATACACACGACTGAAATTCCTATTGGCATTGATTTATAGCTCCCGTGCAAATTCCGCGCGTACCGATCGCACTTATTATCATGACAGAAAAGCGACAGATCAACTTTCAACAACAATTGACGAATTGCTGATATATTACAACGAACATACATCACGTGTTCGTTGGCACGGGAGCGGCTGCGGTCAACGCGGCTCCGCCAATATGCACGAACGCACAGAAAATTTATATTCGGACTGCAGTGAAAACGCGATGGAAGTAGCTTGGAAACAAAAAAGCGTCGTTTTTCTCTCTCTCTCGCTTCTGTTCGACTTTATCGTGAAAATACTTTTTATATATATAAGAGAGAAAACCTCTAAAATTGTTTTTCGACTGCGTAAGAACTTCGCGCGCGAGTCACGTGCGAATTTCACGTGCGCACGTAGCGCATGTAAAGTAATATTAAAATTTGTTTTTTAAGCAATTAAGTGACATCATCAACGGCTATAGAACCAACGCGAAAATTGATTCGTATGCGATTTTGTTGTTATGTACGTTAATTCGGTTTCTGTCTTTGTCTCAATACAATTTTGAAATACAAAAAAAGAATGGAGTTGTTTCGGTTATGATTGTTGCGCCGTAATATATGGTTGCTTTTGTTTGGTTGTATATTTTGCAGCAGTAACGTTCATTAATCTGTCGCATGTTTGCGTCGCGCAGATGGCGGGAGACAAAACTGGTCCTCGAGTGATATTCAATGGCGACGAACAGGACAGTCTGGACGCGCAAGAACTGGAATGCCAAGTGCGATTAGGCCAATGGACACCGCCGTCAGGTAATGCATGTATTTAAATATTTAAATCGAAATTTAATCGGATCAAACGATAAACGCGATAGATAAGAGCGCGCGCGCGCGCTATTTCCGTCGAAACATTGATTTAGACGTCTTTGTATAATGCATCATTGTTTTGCGAAACTGGAACGGAAATTTGCCCGATATAGATTTTTACGGTCTCATTCTTTCTCTTCGAGAGATCATCGTATGTGTGTAACATTCTCTTCTGGCTGGCAAGACGAGAGAGGGTGATTTGCTTTCAATAAAAGTTGGCGGTATCGGAAGAGAGATCTTGGATGAGAGATCCGAGCTGCGTTTCTTCTCGTCGCAACTTGAATCTTCCGAGCAAACGCGAACTTTTTGCAGCTCCTGAACCGCATTGGAAAATTCTTGAACATGATGTCGCATTAATGCGCAGTAGATATGCATAGTACACAGTACAACAAAATTAGTTTGAAATTTTTTTATACAAACCACACGATCTGTCTTATATATATATATATATATATATGTATAACTTTGATTAATCCATGTAATATCAATTTTTGAAACTATGCGGGATGCGCCATTCTTTCATAATATGCAACACGTTTTGGAATAGGAAGTAATATCGAGAATTTTTTGCCGACCCATATGTGCAAAATTGGTTCCAAGACTTCGGGTTCATTTTATTGACAGATGTCGCATTAGCTAACGCTGATCGGAGAATGTGAATAAATTCTAAGTGCCGTTATTCGTCAAATGTTCAACCTTCAAGAGCAATTTTCGAAACACGCGTGAAAGAATATTCGCGTCGAACGTACGCGAATAGTACGTGCGTAGCTAATTTTTTCTTTTCTAGCGAAAACGTGTCTCGTTTACCGTAAAAGATATCTTCGTGCAAAGTCATCTCTTCCTGCGGCTGTGTTTCGAGTTTATAGTTTCTATATTATCTGTGCAGATTAATAATTAAGAAAAATATAAGTTGCACCGGAGTGTTTGTTTTTTTTCTTGTTTTTTACGACTTTTTCTCTCAGTCTTCCGTGTATCTCGCGCGCAAGCAAGGAGTGCTTTTTATACATCCGGAGATATCTCTCGAGTTTTCCGCCGATCGTTAATAAGTACTTTATCGTAAATTGTCTTTTTTACGATCGTCGTAAATCACGCGGTAAGATTTATCCAATTTGTCGTAACGTCTGACGCTCGCCGTCTCTTCCGCCATTGTTGTTCACTTGCAATTTCTTACGCATTGATATTTAACGCGTTCCACATTGCTATCAACTTCTCTTTATCTTTACGAAGTCGTTTTCTACATACACATACTAAATCTGCTCCTCTGTTTAACTATATCTGAAAAAAAATATATACTTTTTTTCAGATCCGTACTGTCCGCCGGATTTTGACGGATTGCGATGCTGGAACGCCACTTTGGGCGGAACTACCGCGTTTGCAAACTGTCCGGCTTATGTCGTAGGGTTCGAGTCATCACGTAAGTATGCCCCCCAATACCACTATTTCGACATTTGACTTTATAATGGCAGTAACCTTTCCGTCGGTTTGCTTTACGGCCTGATGCGTGCCGCCGATTGACAAGATCGACAAGTAGCCAAATCGATTGGCGGGAAGATGGATCGTTTCTCGCGCGCTTAATGCACGCAAAAAAGATAATCGTCGAACGGAAAATCGTCACATTGACATTTTTCGCGTTACAAACGAAATATACTTTTTCTTTCGATTAGAAAAAAACATATAGCGGACGCAAAAAACATATAGCGCGCGCAACATGATCGTCGGAAAATATCGTAGCTTATTTACGTACACTAATGTGTTTGATGAACACAACTATACGTCAAGGGAAACAACCGCTCCTTTTCCGTATCGCAACATTTCTGCGTTGTCTTTTTTTTTTTTTTTTTAATGAAAACATCGTGGGAGCGCGATATATTGCTTTTCAAAATGTTTCAAGTAATGTACGTGTAATATATTGATTGCATATATATGATATATATAATTATATATGGGGCAAATCCACCGTAATTTTAACTTTTAAAGGACTTTGTAATGTTAATAATTCTAAGTTGTTTTTCATACGCACAAGATATCGTATTTTTTCTTTGTATATTTTCTAGTAATAACTATGTATAAGAATGCGGAGCGTTTGCGTTATTACTGACGTTTAAAAGTACACCAAGTCGGTAAAAATATAAAAAATCATACAATTTATTTTGTCCCTTTCGAATTTGTGTTTCACTCTGAATAATTGTACCTGCGCCGTGTTATAATAACGCTTTCGTAATAAATGGAAAAGTTAGTTCTTGCGTTCATACATCTTTTCTCTGGAGGTCGATCACGTGCCATGTAACTATAAAAAATGGTGGCCGCTGAAAAACCTGTTCCTCCATTTTTGCAAAATATTAATTTTCGTAAAATTAACAATATTACGTACGCACCGTTAAATTAGTTGACTAACTGAGTTACTGAAGTTATAAGCAAACACAACAACAAAAAATTTAAGACGTTGTTGAAAAGTGTACTTCAAAAATGAAACGCACACCAGAAATATCAAAGATTGTCTTCAAAAGCGTAAAAATTTATTGAAAAATCCACAAATCACCTTGGCACATATTCTGAGAAAACTTTTTTCAGTCCATATTAACTGTAAACTCTTTCTTATACCATAACTTACCACGAAATCCATGTGGCCACAATTTTCAAACCCAATTTTATTAATTGTGACGTTAAGAGTGCGTGATTTAAACATGATTGCAATGTAAAACTGGAAAGAAATTAAGTCGATTTTAATCAGAGATAAACTTTGCGCCGTTTACTTAAAACTATTAACGCGTGTAGATTGGTGTTTTTTGAACCTATTTCAGGCATGTTAGTTAATATAACATTAAAAAATAAATAAATAAATTTTTATAAAAGTTAAAACTACGGTGGATTTTGTTCATATATATGCGATATTGTATTAAGGTACTTTTGCAACGAATAATGTCGGTTAGCACTGTGCAAACTTCGCGGTGGTTTCTATGGGTAAGTAAACGTTGCGAAAATCCGGGAGTAACGATGCGAACATCCATCATCCCCAGTGACAAAACATATTCCGAACGTTATTCGCTGGGAAAGCGTGTGTAAAAATCTGTATACTTCAAAATTTCATTTCCAATATCTAAACACTCCCCGACCGAAAATCCGATAAAAATGTTGCCCGCCGTAAAGTGTAAATATTGCAAATTCAGAGATAACACGACACGCCACTCTGTAAGTGGAAAAAAAGCTAGCAGCTTCTTCGGCAGCTTTTGTCGCGCGAAATCGCAAAGTTCCTGTCGATCGTATACACGTAAAGTGAAAACATTTCAACCAACATCTTTCTTCGAAATAATTTCACCAAAGAAAAATCCGAGGTGAATATAATCACGCTTTTTCTCATATAAACACACAAAGTTTTGAGTTTAAAAGAAAACTGCCATTTAAAAATGAAATATTGAATTGACAATAGTCACTAATGGTAGCACAGACATCTTAAAACTTAAAAAAAATCAGATAAGTACGACGGTGTTACTGAACTTGACGGCTGAGTGACTTGCCGAGTAAATAATTCTTTTACAAAAAAGTAATTCCAAACGTTTCGATTTTATTTAAAATCATCATCAGTGTGTGTGTGGGTAGAAACTATTATAACAATAAATATATGTAGGCATGATTAAAATACTTGATAATTACAATCTTAAAACTTGTACTTATTAGTCGTTAGATGCAAATGTGTAATAACATACAAAGATGTTTTTTCGGGTTTGAACCGCGTTAGTGTCATTTTTATACCGACGTTTCGTGAACATTACAGCTTACTTCATCAGGGTTTGAAGAGCAGCCTGATACTGAGGTGCTCTTGGTCAGGTGTCCCTTTTTATAGCGCTAGATTGGATAAAAAGGGACACCTGATCAAGAGCATCTCAGTATCAGGCTGCTCTTCAAACCCTGATGAAGTGAGCTGTAATGTTCACGAAACGTCGGTATAAAAATGACACTAACGCGGTTCAAACCCGAAAAAACATCTTTGTATGTTAATACTACACACCGCGAAAGCATCAAATAGCAAATGTGTAATTTTTAAAACATTTTTGTCAAAACGAGAGTTTGAAAAAAATATATATATATATTTTTTCAAACATATATTAAATATTATTCTATAGTTTTCAGATGCAATATGTTTGTAATTTGGATACGAATTACACACGAATTACGCGTGTATACGCAAAACATTACAAACCTTCCTCTTTCTCTTCCTATGGGTGCGCGTCAGTTTACGATCCATATTGTTGCATCGGCCAAACTAAAACACCTGCCGTTCCCGATCAGATACAGCGAATTGACACGCTTACGCGTGAGATCGTTCAAGAACGTTATCGATCCTTCATAAAGCCGGCACCCTGTGCACCAACAACGGACCGACGCGACGCGTCGACGTGCTGACATGTCGCAGCAACGTGAGCGCGGGCGCACCGTTGTACATGTATCGGCGAAACTGAAATACACCGAAACTTTCGCGAGCGTCACAGGCATATATTAACCAAGTTTCGACTCCTGTAGTATTCTCGACTCTCAGTTAAGTAATTTTCGCATCTCTAAGATGTTGTTCGAGAGACATGGATCCCCGTTTCCTGCCTCAGAAGTGCACATATGATGCCGCCGAGTGTGTATGTACGAACAGGCGTATAAATTTCGCGCGCGCTCGCGCGAGAGAGAAAGATCGGTTGTACAATCCTCCGAGCTCGATTTTAACTTTTGCACAATACGCACAATCATTTCGTTTTCGGCCGCGGACAAACGCTCTGATTGCTCGTGTGACACCGAAGTGGGAAACGAACGCCTTTTCCGACCGAAAAAAAATTCCTCCCTTTCCTCCCGACGTTCCGTAGCATCCCTTGTTTTCTCGTCGGGAACTATCGGGAACAGTATTAGTCTCCCGTGATGAAACAGCGAAAAGAGGGGTTTAGTTACGTTAAATCTACCCTAGAGCTTCGTGGGGAAAATGAAGGGATTTCGGCAAATGATCGAAATGAGAGCGCTGTTTGTCTAACGGCACAAAGAACGGTATGCGATATATGTAGGACGCGCGTATATGCGAAAGAAAATATTATTATACATACAATCGGGATATTGAAGAGATCAACGACGTGTCGAAAAATAGAAATTTTCAACATGCTTTATCGCATCGCGCGCTCGATTTTTATGCGATTATCTCTCTTTCGATTTTCATTAAATAAATAATTTCATGTACAAATTTTATCTTTTTCATTTTTTTGCACAATTTTTATAAAAAGCGACACAAGCAATTTAATAAAAAAAGACACACTTCAGAATTTCATATCAGAAAGTAAAAACAAAGGAAATTGATTTCAATTCTGACGTGTACACACACATATATATATATATTTTTTTTTTGTATTTGGCCTTGTTATTTCTGTATTCCCTGAGAGAATGGAATGATGTTAATCTGAGGTTCTCTCTCTGTCTGTCTGTCTCTCTCTCTCTCTCTCTCTCTCTCTCTCTCTCTCTCTCTCTCTCTCTCTCTCTCTCTTTCTCTGTGAGAGAAAACCGCTGGAATTTATCACGCCCTCTTCCATCCTGATGGAAGCTGTCAGTGAAAATATAAAGTCATAAATGCGTTAAATCGATATAGAAGGCAATTTTTCCCGAAGAAAGATACGGAAGAATGTTTTTTCTGGACGGTAGTTAAACAAGAAAAAAAATCACAAGCGCTGCTCTGTCGGATTTATATAATGTTATTTATAACGTTTTCTTATTAATTCAGTTATTTCCCTTGTTAAGTCGTGCTTCTCGCGTTTTATTAAAGTTATCGCACTTGTTGGGGAAGGTTAATGGGTTAAAGGTAACGCGAAATAACGATGGTATGCAATATCGATTTTCGAGCGCAAATAGCGTGAAACCCGCACACAACCTCTAACGAAGGTACTTATTGTTTTAGGAGCAATAGCATTTTAGAAAATAAACGCTTTTGCGAGAGAAAGAGAGAGAGAGATAAAGAGAAACGCGATCCGCGTTTTCCAATTCGAATGCATCCGCGGTCTTCGCGATAATTGGAGAGACCGAGTTATTGTTTATTTCATCACAACGTTCATCGGCAACAATTGGTATTTTATCCGTCAACTACGGTATTTATTCGCCCAGTCGGAAGCTCGCAATTCTCGGAAATCGGAATTGTAAACAGTTTTGTAATTGGTGCCGTAGATCGAATAAAACTTGTGCCGTCGAACATAGAAAGCGAGAGCGTCTTTTTTAATGAGGCTTTCGCGATTTCGCGAAATAAACGCACACATATAAGTCCCGCGTTAATAGTCTCTCGCTATCGGCGTTTTTCTCCTCTTTTATGTGCTATTCTATGTATTCTTTCGAAGATTGGGTGGGGCACCTAATTCCGAGGAGCTTATAGGAAAAGATAAATGTGTTTTTTTTTTTTTTCTAATGACAGCACCTGCCAGAAAGAAACATGCAAAAGAAGTATGAGAGACGAATTAAGGTCGAACATCAATACTTCACTCTCTCTTTCTCTCTTTCGTCATGTTTGCTAGACGAATCTTTGGACTTGTGTGCGATCGATCGAATCTCATCCCAAAATAATGAGCAGCCGCATCGAGGAGAGTAGCCGGCAAATAATCCCACTGCGCGTAACTTTCTCAATCTCCACTTTTTTTCTCATCTTTACTTCCGGATAATAACTCGTACATAACTCAATGGGATTAATGAAATTCTCGCTTCCGCGTGATTTTCTCTTCAAATAATGTTAGAGAAAGGTATTAAAATAAAACATCCAATAAAGTTTCATTTATTGAATACAAAGCCTGTGACAACTTTGATTATTTCTAATTATTTTTCAATTTCTCATTAGGTTGGAAAATTTACGTATTTTTAACAACTAAACAAATTGAACAGAGAACAGTTCATTTAGAACGCAATAGAATTAAAAAATTGAAAAGCCGAAGGAAATTAGACGTTATAAAAAAACGATATATTCTTAATTGTCAAAGTAATTAATAATTTATCAAAATTTACAAAAAACCGCATTTATTATGTATCTTTAAATTCAACGGAATATTAACGCTTTTAATGACATTCAAAACAAACGCGTGTAAAAAAACAGTTGCAATAATTCTTAAACAAACAAAGTTACGTAACAATAAAAATAATCGCAAAGTCGCGTTTGTAATGAGTTTCAATTACTATGCGCACGATCGCACACAAAAGTACATTTTTATTTACGATTTACGCTTTGTTTGGGTAGAAATTACTACACGCTGCATAGAAAGTTGTAAAATCGGACATTTACAATAGACAGACTTTGTTTCGCATTAAAGCGCCGAGCGAGTGGCTCTCGTAATTCGATCGTGAAGAGTTGAAAACTCACGCGAAATTGTACAATTATATAATTCTCGTTTTGCATCCCGGACGTTCAGTTTATATGAAACGGACCTTGCTGACCACTGTTTATTTTCAAATAAACTGTAGCTACGTGTTGACTCGACGAGACAAAACATTTCAAGCAAGTGGAAACAATTTCAAGGTTTGAGATTTTTTCTCGTGTTGCGGCGATGTATTAGTAGATATCGATATATCTCGGATATTGCGAGAAATTTGTGTTATTCCTCTCGAGATGCATTTTTATAATTTACATCTCGCACGATCTCCGAGAAACAATCACACCGCGACACATTACATTCAACTAGTCGTTATTATTTATTTCAAAACCAGACGCAATTACACACGGATCAAAACTCGTTGCTTATTTTTTGTACAATAATTTGCGCAAGATCTTATCGCTAATTAAGATGGAGGAAATATCTCGAGAGAGAAAGAGAGAAAAAGAAAGAAAGAAAGAAAGAAACGTTAAAACGCAAGTTTGAAATTAAGTCAAGGGCGAGTTTAATCAAGCAATTTTACGGGAGCTGATTTAAAGTTCAATTTGCATTTTGTTTTATTTCCTAACTATTAAATCGCATACCTGCAGAGAGAAAAAATTCCCCGTTTCCCGTTGCCCATCTAATCGTTCGCTCGGCTAATGGAAGAAGTACCGACTTGCTTGTAGTTTTTTTGCTGTTGCCGGCGTTAGAGTGCATTTATGCGCTTTTTATGTGGTGTGTGTGTGTATATATATATATGTATATAGAAAAATTTTAAATTGCCTTGTTGCCTCCACCTGGCAAGGGCGAGCAAAAGTTTGACCAAGTTTTGGCAAAAAGCAAACGTAACTTTATAGTATGATTACACAAAGTTTGGGAAGTATTTCCGCGTTTTTTAAAGAACACTGTCGTTTTGAGTACAATCAAGTATCCGGTAGAAAATATTTCCCGTATATTCCGTGTATATAAAAAACTCGATTATACAATAGAGAAGTGCATATTTCCTAGTATCTCAATATATATATATATATAATCAAATATATATATATTCGATTTAAATATTGCGAGAGACAATTTTTTTATACGGCTCAGTGTTACATATTGTATATTCGTTTCGTTTAGATTCTCTGTCGTGTTCTGTGTTGCAGGAATCGCGTATAGATACTGCGAGCCGAACGGTACGTGGTATTGGCATCCCGCGTACGGTCGACAATGGACCAACTACACGAATTGCGTGGATATGTCGGACGAGCCTGTGAGTAATGTGTTTAGAGTGCAAGTATTAACCTCACGTGCGCGCGCGAGATTACCTGTACATTATAATTATAAATGTTACTTGTACGTTAATTATAAATGTGACACTACTTTTGCTTTGCGTCAAAGAGATAGGTCGACAAGCTACTTATCAAAGCACGGCAAGCGACATAATTATGTGACTGAGGTTAATCTTTGAAAATTTTCTAAAGAACACGTCACTAATGCATGCGTCGTTATTAGAGTTCATCCTTGTGGGAAATAACACGCGAAATTCTTTTTTTCATTTCTTTTTTTTTCTTTTTTTTATTTTTGGTTTCACGCGAGATATATGGTTTAATACGAAGATTCGATTTCATATCATTCTGGCTGAAAGCGCGAATAGCGAACTCATGTATCCTCTCGAGAGCTAATACCGTCTAAGTCATGGACGATGTACGTGTTAGAATATTTAGAAGGTTCTTTTTCTTGTTGATATTAAAGAGGATGGAGGTGTTTTTGAAGTTTATTTTACAGCATCGCGTTGCATAACAAAATAAATTTTGCAATTGTGTCGTTTTTTTTTTGTTTTATCTGCCCACACAGTATAAACATTTACTTTGGTAAGTTTTTTACCATTGTTAAAAAAAAGAAAAAGCAAATGAGAAAGATATGAAATAATTTTGTATTTTCTTTGTGTAATATTATAATTGTACTCGTGTCTCCGAAGAAATTCAACTTTCTCGGTCAAAATTACAATCGCGCTTTTCTCCAACCTCTCGCTTCATTTGTGTGTTTGTCTGTGTGCAGATTAAATGAGAACCACTTCGTTATTTAGATATTACCGTGTTCCTATTTGCAAAATTGCGATTTTAGACGTAATTGCCAATTCGGTCGATTGCAGCCGTTTGTGTAACGCACGGATCATCGATGTAAAATGCCAGAAAATATGTTTTTTTCTTATTTTATACGATGACACGTATATTTAAACACCGAAAGAGACGACATACGTGCGCGGAGAAGAAATTAAATGTCACACGAATGTCAGTTTCCTTTTGCGTGAGTTATTTACGCTGCGGTACACATCGTATTTGTGCTCAAGAGAGAGAGAGAGAGAGAGAAAGGGTAACGTTGGGGACATGAAAGCGCAGATCTGTAATTTTCATGCAACCACACCGTTAATAAGTAATGCTATGCTCGTACGATGGCGATTAAGAATAATACTGCCGCTGCTTCCACCTGCTATTGTGAGCGAAATAGGGTTCATAGTTTCCTCATGAGGCTTTCTCAGACGTTAATCAATTTTAATAGAAATTGGCGTATACATTATTTTGCGGTCATGAGCGTGAAATAGTTTATAAACAATATAACCCTACAAAAATAATATAGCCCTATATAAAAACCGAGCGTTGCGATATAAGTGCGCGATATTCAATCAAATGTGAACGTTGCACACAAAATGTTTTCAAATTGAATTAAATTTAATTAATATAAATATAAATTAATATAAATATATAAAATCTTTCAATTCGCTGTGTCTAATCTAAGAAGATTGTGGTGCAAAAAATCATTTTTCGGTCAAAAGTCGAATCTGAGAAATCTTCTAGATGATATTTGTTTTGTTTTTTGTAGCAACAAAAAAAGATCGTAATCAAATGTATTGCAAGATCTATTTTTCGCGTATTCTCTTCTATAAAAAAAAACAAAAAAAAATCAAAACAAGCTTGGATTACTTTTCCAAAATTGAGACTAATCTTGCGACAGCTTATCAGACCTGGTATCCAATCGACGAAGTCCACAATCACTTTGTACGTAGCAAACATTTGTCACAGAGCGTATGAAACCCTATTGCAGGCCAACTCTGCTTTGCAAATGCGGGCAAGATTTGCATCCACTAGCATGAAGGAAGCATAAAGAGGGATACGAGGGAAGCGGAGGGAGTTTAAGCGGCATGAATTTTAGAAGCGACATGTTCGCGTACATTGCGTGTAATGTCGCAGATAAAAAAATGTTGAGATAAAAGTTGGTTTATTCGGTAAAATTGGATATACTTAAGACGGTAAATGACTTCTTTCAAGCTCGAAAGTTATACCTTCCTGCATCTGAGTACGTTTTTGAACTTTCAAAAACTAGTTTCAAGTTTGAATATTTGTGAGAAATATGCTTTAATGAGAAAGTTAGTACCAGGATGAACTGGCGTTAATTTTTGCCAAAAATTTTGTTTACGCGTACGTAGAAAGATAAACAGATAGAAAAGGTTAAAAATACGTGTATCAATAAACTTGAAGAAAAAGATAACTGTATTGTTTTAACATTTTGATAAAAATTCATGTTTTATGTATTCGCTGTTGTATTATAGTCTTCTGTTTTGCGCAATTTTTCTTCTTTATTTATAAAAACTTTACCTTTAGCCTCTTCTTATTCTCTTCGTACCTTTGTACACAACGCTTTTAATATACTTTATATTATACTTTATAATATACTTAATACACTTTATGTCTGTCTAAACATTAAATGTTTTTTAATTAGTCTGTATCGCAAATGCGCGCATGAAGTGAAGCAAAAGAATGTTTTTTTAACATAATAAATTATGCAACAAATGTAGATAGCAATTATTTTGTTCAACAAAGGAGAGATTGATCAACGTGATTAAAAGACCAGTGTTCAGATTCACGCGTTTATCGACAAATTGTAGTCAGTTTTTTAAAATCTTAGAGTTTTATAACAACTAATATAGAATTGTGGCGCACATTAATAAAAATTAAATCGACGCTCTCTCATCTCTGAAACTATAAATAACAGTGCGGCCTGTAAAACGAGAGAGTGAAGTTTGAATTATTGATACTTGTTGCAGTGGTACCGCAACATCACCGTGATGTACGAGGTGGGCTATGTGCTGTCCACGATAACGCTGTTCATATCACTGGCAATCTTCGCGCGCGTGCAGTAAGTTACCAATTTATTTAAAAAAAAAAAAAAAAAAAAAACCGCCGCCACTATCCCGGCGATATCTCTCTCGCTAACAGAACTGTTCGGTGGATTTTTTTTTCAGATCCTTCTTCACTGCCCTAAAAGCATGAAATTAGGGTTCGTTGAAGAGGTGTGTCCGAGACGCGAGATTAAGCGAGATTTTTTTTTGCATGCAGATGTATCCAGTGCCCCAGGATTACGGTGCACAAGCACCTATTTTCCTCCATCACAATAACTAACATCATGTTGCTCATTTGGCACTGGTTTATCATGACAGATCTGGACCTAGTAGCCGACAATAACGTACGTATCAAAGATTGTGATAAGGAATGATCGTGCGCGGAGTATATACACGGTGGAGAAAGAAGTTATACGTATATAAAGAGAGATACAATGAGAATTTAATAAAGAGTCGATCTCTTTTGTGTGTTTAAAACTTAAGTCGTTTATTAAAATACGCGAGCAGAGCATCCTGCTTGTCAGTAATCAAAATCAATAGCTTGTTTCCTTTCGACCGTGTTAAGTTTATTTATAGAAAAATTAATAACGTGCATTTTTACGTACGCGACACCTACGCCCAAAGTAATATTCCGACAACTGACACGTACATACACGCACGGACATAAAGTATTTATTCTCAAAAGAGTATTTATTTTAACAATTCGAAGTTGTTTTACCGACGTTTCGTGAACATTTCAGCTCTCACTTTATCGGGATTTCAAGAGCAGCCTGATACATCTGAAATGTTTGCGAAATGTCGGTATAAAAATGACACTAACGGCGTTTCAAACCCGAAAAACATCTCTTCTAATGTTAATACAACACACCGCAAAAGCATCAAATATCAAAGTATTTATTTTCTCATTCTCTTCTATACAAGAAATAAAATCAACACGATCGTGATAGTGTTAAAAATACGACGCTGGTGTGGGTCATTAGAAATATTGTCACGTATACAACTGCTTTGATTGGCTTCGCGAGGGAGCGAGCGACTTTCTGTGCTTCAAAAAAGATGTTTTATGCGAGCGCTACTACTTATTCTTTATAGATAGTGTGCGTCGTCTACCACGTGGTCCTTCAGTACTTTCTAGTGTCCAACTACTCCTGGATGCTATGCGAAGGTATTTACCTCCACACGATATTGGTGTCCACGTTTATCGACGAGACGGACCTGGTGCACGGCCTGATAATCTGGGGGTGGATCTTTCCAGTTCCCATTGTTACCGCGTATACGGCGTTACGGGCCACTAGCAAGGATCCAGAAGACACCGAGTTGTAAGTGCTATGAACTTGTGTTTGCTATCATCAAATTCGTCTACAAAGTGATCAACTTGCTGGGAGACCTAATTACGTAAAAAAAAAAAAGAAAGTTTTTGCCACATTAATGAGAGCAATTCAAGTTTGAGCGAAGAAGCAAATAAATGAAGAAAACAAAATTATCTTACGAAAAAAGAGAGATCATCATCCCTATTTTCTTTTTTTTCTCTGTTAAAACTTCGCACACGTGCCTCGCTTTCGCGATCTTTTCACTGAGAAAAATGAGATTGTTAATATAATACGAAATATCGCGCGTATTTGTTTTAATAATGTTTGAAAGCGCAATTTTTTAAACGCGCGCGAATTTCAAGAAAAAAAGATCGTTATGTAATATCTCTATGAAGTTAATTCTTCGTGATTTTTCTTCACAAATTTAATTGAACATCGGACTCTTCCGAAAAAGAGAGCTGGACACGGACCGACAATCAATTAACGCGTTTTCTATTAAATTTCTTCGCAAGTTTGCTGCGTTCAGCAATTTCATTTTTTCACAATAAATGCGAAAGCGAACACAAACTTATATGCTATGTAAATTTTAATACTCGCATAATCTCGCGCATATAATGTAACAAAAATTTATATGTATAAATAAAAGTGATATATATAATATAAAGTAATATAATATATTTTCTGATATATATATTCTATTGCAATTGCTTCTCATAATTGCATGTAGATTTCAAACTAAAAGAAGGAATTCTGACTAGCCGATTGCAATTGAGAGCACGTGACACGCATAAAAAGTCAGTTGTGTAACGAAGTAAGAAAACTCTTCTTCGAGTTTTGAGCCGGGAATAACAACACGTCAGCTGTTTTTCCTGACAGCAAGAAATTAACCGAGTTTTTCCAACTAAAGTGTTTAAAATCCGTTAAAGAAAACTTCATATATTTATCCGTAATATCGACCGAATGTAAAGAGGGTGCCGCCGTCGCCGTTAATTTCTCAGCCAAGAAGAATATGTGGTCGGTTGTGTGTCCCGGTCGAAATTAGATACATATCTGCCAACATGAAACGACGATAACTAAATATGCCTAGGGCAGAAGACGGAAACCACGTTTACGACAATCGCGTTATGTTGACCAAGCTACCGGGTCGATATACCCGTTGAGAAATATACGTTTGCTTATTGTAAACAATGTTATGTATATGTATATATATATATATATGATTCGAAGTACGTGTAATGAAAATTGATGAAATAATAACGTGATAATTTCATCTCCCAAGAGAGAACATCACAAATACTTGGCAAAAATATTACCGTTTTTCTCGGTGATACAAGAGAGAAAATTATGTTCTGTAAAAAATGCACGTAAATTATAGGAAGCGCAACCTCCGGCAAAATCTATATATAGAAACACAATTTATTTCCTATTATTGAAAGATATGGAGATAATATTATCTTTTACAGAAATTTATTGCCGGTGTAATCAAAATATTTATTTTGAATATTAAAATTTTATTGTTGAACATAATGCTTCTCAAAATTAGTCAAAAATAAATCTTATTTTGACCGCACCAGTAATAATAAATTTCTATAAGGGATGTACAAAAAAACGACAGTATACGTATACAATTTTTCTTTTTATCCAAAATGGTTTTAAATTTTTCTTTTTTTTTGTTTTGTGTGTGTAAAAACCACTTTTCTGTAACTCAAGGAACACATTTCCGTAGCCGACACAAGAAGGTGAAGTCACCTTCCATAATTTATCAGATAAATTCGTTTACTCGAAAACCAAGATTATAAAACTGTTTTAAATCGTATGAAAAGATAACTATGAGATAATAAAAGCAAAAGTGTGTGTGTGTGTGTGTGTGTATATATATATAATAATGTATATATATATATATATATATATATATATAAAGAATTTAAACCAAATCGAAAATTGGTTTTACTATTAATCAGAGATAGTGTCAAATAAGCTAACGTACTAAATAAAGATCGCGATCGTTTTATCCGACTTTAGTAACAAATTTCTCAATAATTCTATTTATGTCGAAAAATGTCTGCATAAAAGAAAGAGTCGTATTTACGAATTTTATGCATTTGATTATTAGATGCTGGTCGTCCAGCGGGAATTACATTAACGTTATGAGTTACCCGGTGCTCCTGACTACCACCACGAACGTCTTCTTCACGGCTAACATCATACGAGTGCTGCTGAAAAAGCTGAAGGGTCAAGCCAGCAGAGTTCGTCGCATTTTTCGCGCTACTAGGTATTTATGCTTAACATCTGCTGAATTTTAAAAAGTCACGTCTTTTAACGTTCATTATTCGTCAAAAGAAAAACGTCTACTTGGATAACGCTCTTTCTTTTCGCTTATCAAAATTACGGTAGGATTTAATATATGAGTTTTTATCTCATATTTATTTATCAGGGCTGCAATCTTTTTGACGCCGGTACTTGGACTTCAATATTTCGTGGTTGCGGTGCGACCCGCACCGCAACATCCGTGGGAACCGTATCACGAAATATTACACTCGGTAACTGCCGGTTACCAGGTTTGTACCGTCCAAACTCATTTATTTTTCATGAAACAGCTTTCAAAAGCTCGGTATTTAACATACACACATGTATCAATAAAAAAAAGGGTCAAATGGGTGTTTGATGAGGAGAGCGTGCGGAAGTAAAAATCGACAGTTAAAGTAGTTTGGATTGTGGCGAACGCGCGGTGATGTATGTGTGTATCTTTGGTAGATAGAATTTAGGAGTGAGATCCGATAATCTAACACGTATGTAAGTCTAATACAAGTTAGTGGATAAATTTAGTTGGGAGTCAGCTTGCAGCAAGTTTTCAAAGTAGAAGTCCACTTGGAAAACGGATCAATAGAGCTCTATGTGCTTTAATCTTGGAAAATCGTATGTGTCATGTGAAAGAAATTTGTAATAAAATTAGAGAGCAGTTTCTTTTAATTTAGAGAGAGAAAAAGATATATATATATATGAAGCAAAAATGTAATTTTTCTTTTCTAGGGTCTTTGGGTATCTATATTGCTCTGTTTCGGTAACAGCGAGGTAAGTTCGGTCAGATATAAAAGAAAAATCTCCCGCTTTTAGAAACTTCATACTTTTGTAGTGCAATAATGTATATAACTATATAACAATGTATATAGAAAATATATAACGATGTGTCTTTCTTTGTGGTTATCACCAGGTAAAAACTGCGCTTCAAAGAATATGGTGGAACAGCGATTTCAGAAGAAAAATCAGTGATTCTATAGAACTACGACAACGGAGTTCCTCTCTAGCGCCGACGGTCTCGGTACGCAGTCTTTAATAATGATCGGTTGATCGTTTCTCATGAACGTAAATAAATTAACTGAAAATTATTGAATATTTTTGAAGGATACGTGGTTGCGAAAATTCGAAACATTTTAAATTGTGCACTCACCGGCTTCTTAAGCCCACAATGAGATATCTCCAAAATATACTCTTTCAGTATATCCCTTACGACCGTCAAATACATAGAGGACACCACAAAGAGGACACAGAAATAGGATCGATAGACGAACCACAGATGGACGAACACACAGTTTGAATATGAATGAAAATTCCGACAAAATTCGACGTTTTGTTCAATAGACACGAACGTTCCTCTGTTGAAAGAAGAAAGAATATCGTTTATTTGACGATTTGCGACACACAGTAATGCATACGTGTGTATTATGTGATATCTCAATGTAATATAAATGAACAAAGAAACAACCAAAAATTTAAGTAAAAACAATAAGAATGTAATATATGTATTAAATGCAATAAATGTAATATAAATATCAATGTGATACTTGGTACAATCGATTTTTACACAATCAATATCTATATTTATTTCTTTCTTTTGCATCTTTCCTGTGTCAAATTATGTAATTATATATTTGCTCTTAAATATTTATCTTAAATATTTATATTGAACTTATTATTGTTAAAATTAAGATTGAAAAATTTTATTTCCTAAGTGAAATCGCGTATTTGCATCAATTTTTTTATTCTTTTATTTTATCGTAGCTTCTTTAGAGTTCGCGCCTCTAGTGAACTCAATGTATGGATGAAGCTAGGATTACGTACATTAATATAACGCCAAACGCCTGTGTAAAAACACATTTAATAAGTAGATTTGAGAGAATATAATCTGATGATAATAAAAAAAAAAAAAAAACAGCTAAGATAATAAATATTAATTACCGAGCATGTAAATTGGCTGCTCAAATTAAATAAGCCACAGACGTTAACGCGCAAAGGATGTGCGCGAAGAAATATTCCCAACTCGATCGCTTCCTACAAATAAAGGGAGATGATTTTTTGCGATTTTTTCTCCTCGGAAATTCAGAGAAATGCTTGTTTTAAATATACAATCTACTTACGAATGAAGTTTCTGTATTTTCAAACATGGAACGTTTGTCTTCCACCGAGTACAGCGTCATTGCGAACGCGTTTGCCTAAAACAAAAAAAGAAAATCTCACACATTGCAAAAAATCGACGTTGCTCGTCGGGATGCGAGTAAACTCAAACCTGATTGCATGTCAAGTCAGAGTAGCGGCTAATCGCGATAAGTTGAAGCGACAACAACAAGATTATAATGATTTGAAGACAAACTTGCATTACGGTGTTTTCTGCGTAAAGAACGGTAAAGGAAAATGCTACAATGTCAATTAGTATGCACGCAGTCCAACATAACAACTGCGGACTGTAGTAAGAATTGAGATGATTCGTCGCATCTGTGAGGTGTCGGTGTAATCGTTCGAGACTCGAGACTGTAAAACGTTTAGTGTACATCCTGGATACGCTATCTCCTGTGCGGAATTAATTGTTTTAAATTAAATTAACTTAAAAAATTCTCCAACTTAATTAAGAATAAGATCGGTTAATAAAAATTGTTTAAAGTTACACTCTAATTAAATATTATACGGGGATGTAGATGCGTCGACAATTGGATATCTTTGTATTTTCAATTTAATTATTTTAGATATAAAAACGCAACTAACGCGGGATAATAAAAATTTTCTATATAATACACAATACCAGTCAATTCCTGACATAATCCGTTGAGGTAACGAAATCTGCGGCACAATGCGTCATAGAGAAAGCAGAACTTCGCGATCTCCACTGAGAACATAACTCGCATCGTAATTTGTACGATATTCGAGATCACGAATACGTTACGTAAAGCGAGTTGTCCTAGCGTTCCGACTAAAAACCAACTAGCGCAAATCGCTGATATAACCAGCCATTGCGTGTAACGATTTGTTCGTATGTTATCGGCGTAAGAACGATGATGTATCGAATCATCGAATTTACGAGCGGCGGCTAGAGCAAGCTCAAATTTCTCATGCCGCAGACATGACAGCAATAACGTCGTTATCAGATAGAGACCGCGGTTGTACCGAGCGATTCGCCGCAGAGGGCATCCCACGATCATTTTGCTTTGGGCGATACAGTTGACGGGGTAATTTGCATAAAAGGTCCCGAAACAATACACGCCGCCCGTGACGCACGAGTACATCAACAGCTGCTGAAAACGAGTGAATGTTGAACGCTCGTCGAGCGTAAGCGGATGGCATCCGGAGAAACGCGACACGTACAGCAACCACCGACAATTTTCCAGCATGGTTCCAGAAGAACTGCTGCTATACCATAGCTGTGCGTGATTGGTGCTAGTAAACGGTCACGCTTTAATCACACTGGCAATTAGATAAAGTGCCGATAAGTCTACCTGGGGAGGACGACAAAGTAACAACCGTGATTTATGTCTATCGCATGTAAAAATCTCTTCCGCAGGCGGTGGTTATTAACAGTTTATCCGCGGATCACGCAATATTCTGGGAACAAGCGGTAACGGTTAATGTGTCGAAGTTCGTGAATTTTCTTTTACAATAGGTGACACGATTTTTGTTTCACTGAGGAATATTTTTCGCACTTCCAATCAAGTCGGGGGAAAAAAAAGGAACGAAACGGGTGAGAGGAAGAATAGACAGATTCAGTGTTCATTTGTCGTATTATGAATCTCCGGCTGTATACAAAGAGAGATTATATGTGTATAGACTCGTTTATATGTAATAGAAACGTTATCTACATTCGTATATGCGATGCCTATTACAGCAAGGAACAACATATCGACAGGACGCACGCAAATCGTCGATCCGTAAAGATCGACTCATAATGACCTTCGCGCATCGATTATTTACCCCTTTCTCAGTTAATACATTTTTTTGCTTCTACCTCGTTACTATATTTTTTTCTTTAATCAAAAGACGTGTTTTTGCGATCATCATATAAACTTTATTTCAATAGTGTTACTGATACCGTTTGGAAGTTCCAAAGACGATGATGAAACAGTTCTAACAGATTCAATTGTGAAGCCAAACTGTTATTTTTAAAACATTTTTGTGTGATACACTCGACCGCGGTGTTCGAGCATTTTAAACTGATTCGAATATTTGGAGTATTAAATTTGCGACAACACAGCGCTCTTCTCCGTGCTACATATTTTATATGTCACATTACCGACATTTACCGAAATCACATTTAGACGGCATTAAACAATTATAACAGTAAGTCAAATAAATAAAATAACACAATTGTCAAAATTACATTTTCCTGTTACATTATTGCACACTATAAATATACGTATATATCAAAATTAAATACCTAATAAAATAGAAAAAAAATTCTACAAGTATACATGTATGTAGCAAAGCTGCGTAAAAGAAATAAATCTCTAATTGGGAATGTTTTATTGGTACAAATTTAAAGTGCAGGGATATATATATTAAATTAATTATATACGTAATGTATCTACACGATGCTCAGATTGCAAAGATCGCGCTAACGTTTTTCAAGCGCTCAGAATTCTATGTATTTGAAAAGAGTACACGAGTTCTTGAGACAAGCACACTTCTCTCTTTCAATATATATACTTTATAAGAATCTCTCGAAAATACGCGTGCGCGATCTTATAAAATATCTTACAAATTCCCTTTATTCCTTTTATCGCAATAAGATTTCACGCACGCAACTCTTTGAACGTACGACAAATTATTTACTATGCTACATAAATATTAAGTGTTTATATATATATATATATGTATATATATATATACATATATACATATAAATATATATTTATTTGTATGCGCATTAAAAAATGTTGTAAAATCTCACATTATTTGTTGTAAAATCTCACATTAATTTTCTATAGTTTTCTTCTATTTATCTTTATATATACTCCGTTTAAATCAGACGCGAAAACCGTCTTTTCACACAAACCGAGTATACAACTTAAAGGTTAAACAAGAATTTACATTTGCTCTTGCGCGCTTTGTCAAATGCAAAATTACTGTGTAATTATCAGCTGGGTGGTATCGCCTTGGCAGTTTGTCCAAAACCTAAGTTAGGCCTTGTGCCGAACCATGACATTTTCCATTCCAAGGTTTCTTGAAGTAGACGTTCCTCCTCTGGTGAGAAGTGTAACAATGTCGCCACTGCCCTCGTTAAATGAAGAGCCTTCAAATAATATACAGTTATGTATCAAAAGAAAAAGAAAGATCCTTAATTAGATCAAGAGTGCGTATAAAAGCAATACCTCGTATTCTCTACTGGTCAGAAATTTAATGAGAACATGTTTGAGATATTTGAAATTAACGTCGTCTTCTCTGGAATTGTATCTGGCAGTGACCGTTTTGGATGAACTTGGATTAAGAATAGCTGCGGAAGTTTCGACTTCGCTGTCTAACGACGAGGATGGTATCTTTAACTCGCGTTGAAGTGTTTTCTTCATGTCAGTTAAACGTTGCTGCAAAACTTTGATTGTCTAAACACAAAGAAAGAAAACAAGATAAATGGTTAATGTATTATTTATTTATCATTTATAATTACTTTTTATATGGACGTCAACAATTTTGCAAATTTTACGTTGTCCTTAAAAATAGCATTAATCAGTCGTAGAATATTTACATGTATATTGCATTATTTACCTTATTTTTTTCGCTCAGCTGCTCTTCCAGATCCAACAAGCTGCTCTTAAGTATTCTCTCGTTCCCTTCTAATTTCTCTCTGCTACGTTCCACTTCTTCCAGTTTCGCGACTTTCTGTTCAAATTCTTTTAACGTAACCGTCGCTTGTTCCGCCTCTTTCACTTTATCAACTAAATCTCCTTCCAAATTTTCCACTCTACTATGCAGTTCTATGTTCTCGATTTCCTGTTGTCGATTTTCTTGCTTCACGATTTCTATGTCTTGCGATATTTGAGCGTTTCTTAACAAGGCGGCATCCTTCTCACTCCTCTCTTTCTCGAGGAAGACTCGCAGCTTCGCCGTAGTTAGTCGTTCGGACTCAAGAATCTCTTGCAGCTGCGCCATTTCCAGATGCAAGGAAGAATTATTCGACTGTTCTCGTTCCAAGGACGATCGGAGATTCTCTAACTCGTTGGTAGCTGTGGTCAACTTGTTTGTTGTATTTTCGAGATCCGATTTCAGTTGACTAATTTGCTTCGAAGAGGATTCCTAGGAAAATAACAAATACACGAATTTATAGTGAAAAGACGTTGATATCGACTTGATATTTAAATATGTCATAGTTTTTATCGCGCAAAGCTTGCATTATTTACATTTAATTGAGAGAATAACATTTTATTCTCCTCGAAGCACACGTGTGCATCCCATTCTCTTACAAAATACTCGACACTTATTACGAATGAAATACTATCGTGTAAAGTTAAATAGTTTTCTTTGTTCTTCGAAATAAGTTCTTCTATCCACGTATTTTGTTTCGACGAAACGATCTAACTAACAATAGCTATATATGTGTGTAAAACCATCTCCTTTTAATGGATTTTCTTCTCGTTTTTTGTAAACAATCTTATATCATAAATGTTAAAAACATAAATGTCAAGGCTCTCTGGCTTACAGACAAGTGTAAGATTATACTTATTCTCGCTTTGAAGGCTGATTATCTCAACGGTAAACAAATAATAGTGAAATAAACTTTTCTCGAGATTTTTTTCTCGACAGGACTACGGTCAAGGTATCGACAAATCACTCAGGGAAAAATAAAAAATTGGTAAGAAAGAAGCAAAAATGGGTGAAACATAAAAGATACTATATAATTTTTTCGTTCTTTATTTTTTCACAAATAAAATATACACAATGTGCGATTGTACATAAAAATATATCTATATAGTTGTTTCGTATACACAGTATATAACAGCGTATAATATTCATGTACAATACGCAATGTATATAAAAGAAAGTATATAATCTTCAATACGGAATTAATCTGTATAAACGACTTATGCATTCCTCCAATATGATCTCGAAACGCTCAAAACAACTTTAACACATGCTCCGAGAATAATACATATCGCAAAAAAAGATTCATAAGGGCAACGTGCATAACGCGGATTTTTAGAAGATAAAATGTGCGTGAAGCAAAAACAGAAGCGTCAAAATTCCAAACAACATGCAATAATATGTTCTATTACTAAATGCATGTTCAGTTTTTTTATACATATAAAATGCATATGTATATGATAAAATGCGAGACGTTCTATTCTTCTTTTCACAACTTCATACATGATGATATGTACATATACATATATGTGCAGTATGTATGTATTACACGTACACAGTATATATATAAGTATGTACCATTGAATCTCAATTTTGTAAGAGAAGAAAAACTCTTATATAGTTATATACATTATAATGGCGTTATTCTTAGTCATTTATCAGCCTGTCGGTATATCAGTACATTTATATATGCAGTGTATGTATATACGTAAATGCTGTGTGTGTGTGTGTGTACGCAAATGAAAATTAGTCTTAATAACTTTAGTCTTAGTAAAGAATTTAATCGACTATTTTTATACATCTATTTTTTGTAACAATTATTTACTTTAACAACATTATTGAATTAAATATACATCAAATGTTATTTTTAAAAATTAAATACTTTTTAAAATTGAAAAATTAAAAGAATATTAGTAAAGATAAAGAATATTAATAAAACTTTTGACACACAGAAGACAGGTTTTTGCTGTACATAAATAATCTTTTCCATCCAGAAAATTGAAAAAATTTGTCAGTTTTATAAAATTTAGGTTTGACCAAGACAACTGGGGCTGCACACGATCCAAAAGAAATAAGGAAAGAAGTAAGGAAAATCGAAGAAAATATACTCAAGGCTACCAATTGAAGAAGTGTTTGATCAACAAGGAATTCTTTATCAACAACGATGCAACGATGCTCTTTAGTACAAATAATAGAAAATTACGCTACACACAAGATAAGATATTGCATTCCAAAATCGTGACATGTAATAATAGTGAGGAGACTGCATATTCGAGAGCTGCACGTAAGTAACAGAGTGAGGTTTCTATATTATAAGATCGGTGATCTCTCGTTTGGAATGGCACCTACCATCTCAACGATTCATAAGAATCATAGTTCGGAAAAAACTGTCGGTAACAATTACATCAAGCTCATGCACTTGTTCACTACATATCGCGGTAACTCACAATTTGCCGTTTAAACTCTTCCACTTCGTCATCGACGCTGGCCCGGAGCTCTTTCAGTTCCGTGGCCATCTCGTCAATGTCCTCAGTCATACGCAAAAGCTTGGCGTCTTTTGTCGCCATGACAACATTGTTCACCTCTATCTCGGCCTCTAGCTGTTTGATTCTCTGTTTGAGCTTCTCCTTCTCCTCCTCGACTCGTCTGCGTTCTAGTCCTTCTTCACCGGCCTGTCTGCTGAGCCTGCCAACTTGTGTCTCGAGACTGGAAATTTTGCCCGACCAACTGGTCTTTATGTCAGAAAGATGGAGATGCGCCTCTTCCAGTTTCCTCTCCAATAGTGTTCTTTCGCGCATCAGATCCGCTATTCTCTCGTCGACTGTCACTTGATCGTTCGTCTCCAAAGCGATTCTCTGCTCGAGTACAAACACCTTGTCTTTCAAGTGGCGTACTTCTTCTTCTGTTTGCGCCAACTGGCAAGAAAGTTGCGCTCTCTCTCGCTGCGTTGAATGACGCATCGTTTCCATCTCGTCCTGAAAACAAGCACGTAGTTATCCAATATCGCTCATTGGGTTTCTGTTAGGATTATATTTAGTGTTATTCATTTATATGAAGCTTCCCTGCAAAATCTTATCAAAGCAACGAAGCGCGAATTCAATTTTGCCAAAAAAACCAGAAATAAAAAAAAGAATAAAAACAAAAAAACAAAAATATGAAAATGCAAATGGAAAGCAATATTTATGAAGTTTAATGCTTTTTGAGTGTCATTAATTGTTTTCATATTTTATAAAGAATAGTTAAAAACTGGCTCTATTTAAGTGCTAAAACCATAGCCCATTTCCCATCATTTGTTTGCAAAGCAATACAATTATCTTGATGTAATCACACATTTTTTTAATTGATAGATTATTCTTCTATATATATTAAACTTACACATAAGAAATAAAAAGCAGACCAGAAACTTATTTAAAATAATAAAAATTTATCTCATTTTAATGAGATAAGAAATGATGCCATAGATATAAGTGTATAATACGTGCATTGATGAGTATTGTCAACCGAAGGTCATTTTTACTTTTATATTTCGGTATTAAAACATTTTTAATTAAAAGTACGTTTGTTTTCAAGCAAGCACACAAGCATAAAGGCTATAAGACAAACCACTTCTAGCATAACGGAATAGCGACAAAGCCTTAAAGACGTACCTCTAGCATCAGCGGTAGCAGCAGCGAATTAGCGGAAATAACCGCCTAACTCTGATCTTCGATGCTCTTGTTTACCAAAGTTTTCCAATCTTCTTGCGTGCGTTGCGTTCACGGAACTTTTGGTATCACTTTTAGCAACGTGGTTGTTCCATAACTCTAGGAAAACGTCACCTAATTGTATTCGGTGATACCGCAAATGATGCGAGAAATATAATATTCGCGAATCCCAAAAATAGGATCAGATACAAGAATACCAATCTACGAGAGAGAAACGCGTATGTGTTTCTCTCTTTTTTCAATAATTCACAAATCTATAAATTTTTGTTTTCTATGAAACAAGAGACCCATCAGATCACCAGATTAAAGAGATTGAACGCAGCGCAGCACAATGGAAACAAATAAAAAAATTAAGAGGACAGAGTTGTCATGCGACATTAAACCTAAGAGTTATGGAACTCTTCGTGTGATTTCAATTTGAACGTGTTTCACTACAGCGAAAATCACATGTAATAATATGTTATGAATTCACGTTTCAGCGGCGTGTCGTTAAAAAAAAAGGTGCATAGAAAAAGTATTGCAAATTGTGACAAAACAAAAAGCGTAATATTACTATCAAAAAACAAATAAATACGAATATAAAGTAAAATACAAATATAAAATAAATCCCTTCTTTAAATAAGCGTGCTTAAAAAATAAGTAAATTCTGAGTATTTGTCGATAATGTTATTGAGTATTGTCGATAATGATAATTATTTATATAAATTTTGTATATCATAAACGTAATCATTTTTTTTTAGGAGACATCAATTTATATATCATACATTTTAATATATCCTATACTTTTTGTGTATAAATCACAAAATAAGTTTGCAGATAGTGATGTTTTATATCTTATTATATCTTTACTGCATACTTGTGCATCTTAAAAATAAAATGCTATATGGTTAATTTTAAATATCATATCTTATATTATTTTTTTATATTACTTATTTATGTTTGCATTAATATAAGAAGTGAATTATATAGTCTTAATCAAATGATGAATTAATGAATTGTGTAAAAAATAATGACAAAATCAATACATTTAAATAAAAAACTTCTACCATTTTACTTACTTGTACATTATTCAACTCATCTTCATATCGTCTAAGGCGGGAAACTTCTGTCTTTAAACTGTCTATTTCTGCTGTGGCAGCTTTTAAATGATGCGATTTTTCTTCTACTTCCTGCTCTTTTGCCAATAACTGCGGGAAAATAACTTATTACATATATAATTCACTTTTTAGTGATTAAAGATTAAAAAGATATAGATTTTATTTTAAACTCACAAGATGTTTAACTTTTGCCATCTCCTGTGTTTGAAATCCTTCCAGTTGTTCTGCATCTTCTTGAAAACTATACAACTTCTTTTTATATTCTAAAACAATATTATATATTAAAATTGTTGAACAAATAAATGTGAATAACAGAGCAGAAAGAAAGCACACATATGTACATGCAGTGCCTCAAAAATATAAAAACTAAATTGTATAACCAACCTTCTGCTTCTTTAAGAGCATGTTCTAAGGACTGCTTTGTATTTTCTATCTTTTTTATCTCTTCTTGCAATCTTTGCTTTTCTTTCTCCTGCTTCTCTACTACTTTCTTCCATTCTTTCTCCTTCTCAAATAATCTAACTTTCCACTCTTCTTCTTTCTTCTCCATCCGCTTTAACATTTCTGCTTCTTTTTTTAACAAACGTTTCTTCCATTCCTCTTCTCTGTTTTCTAATCTTTTTATGTCTTTTGCTGATAATTGCATTCCATCAGTAAGTTTAAGTTCAAAACTGTTTTCTCTTCTGAGTCCAACTAGTGGCAAAGGAGATGCTGTATTTTCTTCTCTAGTTTCATCTAATGATATTTGAGAACCACTAATACTACTTGTAGAGCCAGTCTGCAAAAATAACACTATGTTGTATTATCAGCAATTTTATTTCTACAATATCAAAGCAAATCAGGCTTAAGATCAATTTTTAGATCTTTGATATATTATGTAAATGTCTAAATAGAATAAATATAACAAATTATTATTTGATATTAACAAATGTGTGGTTATTGGCTGTTTGGAGCAGACACAAATGCCGATGTGTGTATTTAAATAGTTTATTATAACAATGTTATAAAGCTTTCGACCTTCGGTTTAGGTCTTTTTCAATATGGTTCTACAAAACAATAAATAATATATAGCTCGCAATAAAAATACATCATAGTTAACAGAAATGTAGGTCAAAAACTTTATGACATTGTTATAATAAACTATTTAAATACACACATCGGCATCCGTGTCTGCTCCAAACAGCCAATAACCACACATTTGTTAATAGTAAAAAATTTTGGAGCTGTTTTCATTATTTATAAATTATTATTTCCTTCTGATTTTAAAAAATCAATTAATTGTAATTGTGTGTATTACTGCATTTAAAAACAAAATCTTATCTAATTGATTTCATCTAAAACCAATAAATAAAATTTGACTGATGAAGTCTTAAATATGTGTTATGATAATATATGACACATGTTTTATACCTGAGACACATGTTTGGAACTTATGGCGCGTATACTGCCGGCGTTCCTGACAACGGTGGATACGTCGCTGCCGATTTCTTCGCGTATTTTGTTTTTCAGAGTAGCAAACATCGTGCACCGGTAATTTGTATATTAAAGTTAACACGCGACAGGTGTAACAAGCACATCAACTGTCATTCGATACAAAAGTCCATGAACGTCGTCAGAGTGACAATATATTCCGCACGCTCTCCAGTTTACGTTAAAAAATCTTTCAACACTGAATATCAGGACACGAGAAACACTGCGCACCATTGCCTCATTTTCCGTCACACCTTTGTTCTCTCTTGATTGCGCGACTCGTCAGGGCCATCTTTTTCGCTTTACGTTAATCGGCTCATGCTGATAACGAAACTTGTCGCATTTCCGTCAAGTGTCAGGACACATATGTACATAATAAATATATATATATATATATTTTGTGTTCTTAGGTGCGACATACCGCACTACGTTACACCTCAAAGCTACATCATCGATCACGTGACCGAACTCGATTGAAGACTCGTAGGCTGTTCCGTTTCACGCATATGCGCCTATTTATCTATAGTACATGTTACGTATAGTATAGATAAATGCGCGCATATGCGTAAAACGGAACGCAGCTTCGTATGTTTATCTCTCAGGTCTAGTTTCCATCGAAATCCTTAATTCGGTTCCACTCCGGTACAGGGCTGTGCGGAGCATGCGCAATAGATCGGGGAGCCATCTTCTCATTTCTTTTTTTTCACTTTCTCGACTCCTTTCAATTCCTGGTATTCCTGCATTTCACTTCCTGTATTTCCTGCACTTCCTGCGTTTGTTCGTTCTCTCTTGGGGCTGTGTTCAGTTAAGCAAGATGGAACGAACTAATGCAGGAAATGCAGGAAATACAGGAATTCATTAGTTCCAATTCCTGTATTTCCTGCATTTCCTGCATTAGTTCGTTCCATCTTGCTTAACTGAACACAGCCTGGGCTGTGTTCCGATTCCCTACCCGAGTGCATCTGGTGTCATTTTATCTTTAGGTTTGTTTTACTTGCATACACGAAAAGTGTAAAGTGTACACCTTACACTTTTAATACACTACACTTTTTGGAAGTGGGGGAAACATCGTGTAAAGTGTATACTTTTCAAGAAAAACGCCAGAGTGTAACAAAAGTGTACTACAGTGACTACGTTTACACGCACTGGTAAAACCGTTTTAATAACAACCGAAGTTATGAAACTGGCCAATCACAGTCATTCCATTCTTTACAGAAATACTTATGATTGGTTAGTTTCATGAAAACGGTTGTTATTAAAACGGTTTTATCAGTGCGTGTAAACGTAGTCGTAGTCAGTTATTTGTGCATAGTGTTGCTTGTTTTAAGTTTTAAGCATTTTTAAGTAAAAAAGAGTAAAAAATATTTAG